AAACAAATGTGGAATGTTGCTAAATCAGGTTTAATATTAAAGATTCCTAGAGCAGCCCAGTGTGAATTATTGTCTGCACATATATTGACTTACCAGCAATTACATGTAATGTTACTAACATTTTAACTGACTTTTGTATAAGATCTGAGATATGTCCATTGTTAGCATAATATGAAATAATTCTAGTGGCCTACATATGGCTGTGTCACTACGATAATGCTCACAAATTCTTTATTATATATTTTTTCAGTTTTGACTGAGTACAATCTTAATCATGTCAATGAATGGTGTCATCTGAAGCATATTAAACAGAAATGTCAACAAATACATTTTGTCTACCCATCGGCAGATTGTTCGGTTGGTCTGTGATAGGGGAAGCCATGAAGGTGGCATAATGTAAAACGATAATTGGAACAAAAACCGACTTTATAGTATTTTTATATAAACATTTTTCTGTATTCAGTGGCAAGCTCACACATGTGATCACCAAGTTTGTACTGTACTTTATAGTGCACTTTTTATAAGATGAGATGTAAGATACAATCAGGGACGCCGGAACTGGGGGGGCAGGAAGGGCAGCCGCCCCTGTTGCCCTTTACCAGGAGGGGCAAGGGAGGCAAAGGTGTCCTTTCAATTTAAAGGATTGCCTTGGCAAAATAGCGAATTGTCAGAAATGTTAGTGGAATTCTTTTACGAATTTTGCTTCAGAAAACGCAAGAATTGCAGTCATCGAGCTTCAAGAATAGCACAATCGCCTGCGGAGAACCCCCTCACACCCCTATCATCCAATCAATAGAAAACATGATTAGGCGAAGTTCAACTCCCGATGTTTTGCAAATTAACATCTCTTAGTACATATCAATTCAAAAGTGCCCTTTCTCGAAAATCTGCCCCCCTTGCTCTCACATTATTCCGGCGTCCCTGGATACAATTGTAGAAGGTAATTGATGTAGAACATGTGTAAGACATTAAATCATAGATACAGTGAAAAAGACACTTTTTGGTTGTAGTACATCCTGCATGTACATATCGGCAGCATTTTGCTTGCGATAGTAACTCCCAGTCTGTAAGAATATTCTTAAAAAATTATCGTGTTACCATGACAACTGATAATTATATATAGACGTGATAATTTTATATAGACCGCCTTATTCTGTAAACCACCAAATCCCGACAGGTGTTTTCTTCACAGAATTTTCAGACTACCTAGAATCATTTCTACTTTGTAAGGAACAATTGCTGATTACTGGGGGATTTTAACTTTCATCTAAATGATAATCAAAATATCGATGTTTTGAAGTTTTTAGATCTACTGGAAACATTCAATCTTCAGCAACATGTTACAAATTCTGCACATCTTCATGGCAACATATTAGATCTTATTATTATCCGTACCTCTGAAGAACTTTTAGCCAAACCTCCACGTATTGAACGATTCATATCTGACCATGCTTGCATTATATGTCAACTGATTTCACCTATAGAACGCAGTTTTCAGTTAAGAATATCTCTTATCGTAAAGTAAAAACTATTGACATTCATCGTCTTAAAAATGATATTAAAGAATCTGCACTGAATCTGACTTCAGAAAATATTGATGATACTATTGCGGATACGAATGCCTTAGCACATGTGTACAATAAAACGCTATCTGCGCTCTTGAATGATCATGCTCCTCTAAAGCCCACTAAAGCTGTAAGACCTACCATGCCTTGGTTTAATAATGAGATTGATGATGCAAGGTAAAAGCGTAGAAAAGCTGGAAGGAAATGGCGGAAATCACGTCGAGCACAATATCTTGTAATGTTCAAAAGATTAAAGAATTATGTTACCCATCTTATAAATAAAGCTAGACGGGATTTTATACCGAATTTGTGAACGAAAATAGTAGCAACCAAACGAACCTATTTAGAGCAACCAATAAACTACTTGCATTAAAGAATAACAATGTGTCTTTTCCTAAACAAATGGACAGAAACATTCTTGTGAATGACATTGGTAAATTTTTTGTTCATAAGACTATCAGGTTCGTGCTGAAACTGACTCAACTGATGTTGATGAGATAGATAGAGCACTGGTTCCAACTAATCCTCAGATAGATGATGAACTACAGATCATGGAATCTTTTCAAGTACTAGATGAGAAGGATGTTTCTACTCTGATTCGAAAATCAGCTAAAAAAAACATGTAAATCCAATTCCTACTTCATTAATTATTGAATGTCTGGATGTTTTGCTCCCTTTTATCAGGTATGTTATTATACGTAATATAAGCTTCAACCACAAACGCTTCGCAAAACGTTTTAAAGTGTTCTTTATAAAACTAAACTGCCTTTAATTAAATGGCTTTATCGATAAACTTTGAGTTTCCAATAAAATGATTTCAAATTCTCGCATGCAAATAACTTTGCTCTCTTTTTATTTAAAAAAATTCAATATAATAAAAAAGGGAATCAATATTAAAGATACACTGAAATTATATGCTGTCTTGTTTAGTTGTTTTATATACGCAAAGGCCGTCGGGTATTAAAGCAATTATAAAATCAATATTTAAAACAGACTTACCTTCGTTAACGTCGGCTCCCTTCTTTTAGCCGATTCTTTCGCCCTTCTGCAAAAATGCGAGCAAAAATGAAATATATTTGCAAGAAATTTATCAATCATCAAATCAAGAAATGTTTGCTATTTCGCTGTCGTCATGCAGTCGTTATAATGCAAACTTTAAATTGGACCAATCAGTGTCTGCTATTCATGACAGTCCGCCATATTTTTGAGATCAGTGAGGATGACCGCCCACCGAAACATCGTTAGTGAGCCACGCCCGCGATCATTGATGAACTTTAGACTTCGCTAATGCTTTCGTTTCCCCGGGTGTAAATAGCCGGGGGGGGGGGAATTAGTACCCTCGCACGGCGCTTTGCGCCGTCGGCTCGGGGCTTAAGATAATTATAGTCATGACTATAGTGTTAATTAATACAAGGGGCATATCTTAGGATATCATTCAGTATATTAGGATATCATAGGATATTACGCAAAATATTAGGATATCTTCAGTATCTCAGGATATCAGCATCTTAGGATATCATACAATACTTGCTAGGATATCATGCAATATCTTAGGATATCATGCAATATCTCAGGTTATCATACAGTATGTTAGGATATCATGCAACATCTTTGGATGTCAATATAACGAATTGAAATATAACTCAGGATATCGTTCGTCCAAAAATTAAAAACAATCCCGCGCAATCCGCTAGAAATACACTTGTCAAACGCAACGATCAAAATGAATGAAATGTGTCTTCGAAACATGATATTTATAATCTCTGATCCTTTGTGACGTTATATGGTAACATGACTTAGTAACATTACTCTATTTTGATGTAAATCGGTAACGGGACTTGGTAACGCAACCTAAAGTGACGTATGTTAACCGCACTGAGTTCTGTGACAGGTGACGTTACCATGTAACCTAACCTAATGGTAACGCGACGCTATTGTGACGTCATATATTTGGTATACTAATTACTTCTGCCCACAGAGCCATTTCTATCTGAACAAGGTGACGTCATAGATTTTGCTTACTTTCGCTGCTAGAGCCGATGCTCTCTGAACGAGGTGACATCATAGATTTGCAAATTATAAATTCCGCCAGATGGGGTCTATCACTACTGATACATTACTGGCTTGACCAGAAGTCCATTAATTGTAAGTTATAAAATATGGCGGTTTCCTTTTTTTATTTAAACCATATTTTAACCGAACATTTGCCCAAAGAGCAAATTGCTCATCAATGAGAGTTCACGTTGTTTACAATATTTTTTTACAAAAAATAACACACAATCAAGTAATATTATTAATTGAAAGCGATTGATTTGAGAAATGAATGACTGGACAATGTCAAACGATTTCCTAGCATTGTGAAAATTATTATCAGGAACACCACATAAAAGCCATTTCGGATTTTATGGCATGCATAGCCATAGATACAACAGGAGCCATCGATTTGTATTGGCTTTACAAATTAAACTGAGTCCAAGAACTTATCAAATACATAAATGTAAATCAGTAAATATTCATGTTTCTAGATATATTATTTTAAAGATATATTGTTTTAGTTGGGACTGTCGAAGAAGAAGGTTAATTTAATATTAAATGTATCAGATTTGATCAACTAGCATCAAATTAAACATGCATACATATAAGTCGTAAGAAGGGCGGATTTGCACGTACAGAGAAATATTTCGTCGTCGAAATATTTCGCTTGATTTCTTTTGAATTAGAAGTTGATCGCTCACAATTCAAAAGAAATTGAGCGATCGGCAATAGACCTTTCCCCTTTTAAGTGAAATTTGGATCTAGACAAGTCTGGGCAAAAATTTCATCACAGCTTGAAAGAGCATCGCAAAATTAGTAATATTCCGAAGTTTCGTTGCAAAATGTTGTAAAATGCGGATAATATAGCCTTGCGAAGTTTGCCGTTTTTCAGTCATTTTAGATTACAAACGGGAAATTGATAATCAGATGATCTAACTGATTATCAATTTCCCATTTGTAATGCAAACTGACTGAAAAATGGCAAACTTAGCACGGCTATATTATCCGCATTTTACAACATTTCGCAACAAAACTTTGGAATATTACTAATTTTGTGATGCTCTTTCAAGCTGTGATGAAATTTTTGTCCAGGCTAGTCTAGATCAAAATTTCACTTAAAAGGGGAAAGGGCTATTGCCCAAATTTCAGGCTGGTAGTTCTTAACCCACTGGTTCTTTTATGCGGGGTTTTACTGAAGTGTAAGCCTTAATTATTTTCATTATATATAGTAGTCTGATACTTTGAACCAAATAAATAGAATCTAGATGTTTAGTCTTCTGAAGTTGACCACATCTGCTGTATTGACATTTTCTGATGTCTCGGGTTTTATCCAATGGTATCAAAAGTCATTTTCTCCCAGTCCACTTCCACTGGTTCAAGTTCTTCAATTTCATTCAAGGTTTGAGGGCCCATGTCTTCAGATCCAATCTCGTCCTCAAACATTTGTTGAAGTAAATTTTCTGCAGTCTTTATCTGATTTTCCATCAAACGATATCGTTTCTCCTGGTTCATGGCGTATTCTTGCACTCTGATCTGGCTTGGCGTTCGCTGAAGGTCTCCATTGGCTGTTTCTAGGTCTACACTTAGAGTCGTTCCTGTACGACTTCGTTCTGTGATTGGTGTCCTGAAGTAGAAATGCGGTTTAGAGAAGCGAGAATGCGATGGTTCGTAATTGAAGAGAAAAAGAAGATCCAGTCAGGTTAGCATGATGACACAAAATTGAGGGCAACGAACCGTTGGAAACAGAGGATGAGATGGAGAAAATTACCAAACGAGACCGGAGGGTGATGATTTAGAAGATGGTCATGATGGTTTGGTGGTAATGGTGATGGTACAACGGTGATTGTGATGAGGGATGGTAACGATGAAACAGAACTTGATCGTTTCGTAATGGTAAACACGCATTCATTCTTGTTTCGGGCTTCAATCCGAATCAAAACAAAGATGATGGCGGTGGTTGTGATGGTAACAAAACTAGAGGAAGAAGATGCCCAATATAGAGTGTAGAGGAAGGTCCAGTCAAGTTAGTAAAGAGACACCTAAAAGAAGGACTTGGGAGATAAAGGAGATGAGATGGAGAGATATTGTGGGAAGATACGAAATCTAAGAGAAGAGGATGCCCAGAATAGAATGTAGATGAAGATTCAGTCAAGTGAGGAAAAATACACCAAAAGAAGGACGATAGAGGTGTGCATCGGATCGGATTGGGCGTTTATAATCCGACAATTGGCTAATGTTTAAAATCCGATCCGATCCGAAATTGTCTAATCCGAATCCGATCCGATCCGAGTTGTAATAAAGTATTCCAATCCGATCCGATCCGAAGAATTCTTTAATAAAATAAATTTTTCATTCACGTTGAAATGTTTAACCAAATCAATAGAAAAACAAGAAACACATGTCAAGAAACTGACAAAGTGACGTCCAATTGAAGTATCAAACGAAAAATGCGACAATCGCGATAATGCTTTGATAAATGCATGGATAATTAATTCTTGCAATAATACGTGGATAATTAATTCATTTTATTTCGAATATCGAAGAGATATTGTGTGAAAGGCATAAGGGTACTCAGGAGGAAGTCAAGAGGAGGAAGTCAAGAGGATCCCTAAAAATAGAGTGTATGACATGGCGTCAACATCTGACCGTATTAGTGATTAATATGAAGAAAACATTTAAGTGAAGTAAAGTAGACTTAGAGTAAGAAAACAAGGCAATACAAAAGCAAAAGTATTGTGAAAGTGAATTAAAGGGAAGTGGAATGAAATAAGTAAATCGAAAACAACGCAAAACAAAGATAAATAGAGAAAAGGAAGAATTTTTACTTACATTCCAATGCCAACTCCTTTTTCTTGAATAACTTTCTCAAGTTCAGATTCAAATTTTCCTTGAGAAAATGTGTACTGGAGCATGAAGGCTTCGATGATAAACGCCACAAATATGCTGCAAAAATAATGTATTATAATATTACAGGAGAAAAAATATTGACAGGACGATTAGCGAGCGATTGTTCGATCAAAATGAATTATACAGTCACGTACTTTAAAACAAGTATAACGCAAGTGAGATGAAACGAGACAAAGTATAGTCTAGCAGCCTTGCTAGTCACCAACACAAAACCTTGAGTTAAAACTGTACAATGTTGATTAAGGAATCAAAACAAACCTCACAAAAACTGCTCGGGGTTGAGATAAAATTTGATGGCACAATAGTCAGTGCATCTGCCCTCCATCTCTGTGACTGGGGTTTGATTCTTACAATATGCACTTGTCTGATTATAATTTTGCCTCAATCACTTGTGAGTTAAATAACATCGGACCAATTGGGGACCTCAAGGATGTCATTACTGGACCTCAAGGAAAAACAACTTAAAACTGATAGAAATCAAAGGATACTGTGCCATTGATTGACAACCATCAAGTCGAATAAAATTTTTAGAGATTTCAAAATATTGTTAAAATTATCTCCACAATAATGTTCGTTATAAAATTCAGAATTCTTTAACTTCACATCTCCACAGAATAACTCAGTCGTATTCGTGGTGGCATTTGGATAGCCAAGCATTCTGATTCTGCCTTGGAATAATTCCATGCCCAGTATTGCATACATATAAAACAAGATCTAAAAGAAAGTTGAAGTTGATTGAAGACAGAAAAAGAAAGAAACAAACAATGTTTTTAAAATCATCTGGATCTCTTACAAACACAATTCCTCCATATATGGCAATGGATGGCCCTATCTGCATAACCGTGTTCACCACAACTTTGAACCTACAAATTTGAAAAATAATATTGTCGATTTTTTCTTGTCTAACAATTCCAAATTGTCTGATCTTATCAATGCTTTTCTCTGTGCTGTTGGAAGAGTTTCTATTTAATTTCTTTCCAAGAAATAATGCAGATAGTCTTGCTTTTCACGCTTGCCTTTCAAGACTTTCGGACTCGGGTTCAGTTCTCGGTTGGACTTCTGCTCAAGGTCTTAATATAAAACTGTGGGGAAAAAGCTACCTTAAAAATCGTAGGTACCTCGGACCCCCTATCTATTGAGCAACAGCCTGTGTTGGGAAATTCGCTCATCAATGAGTGAGAAGCTCAATAAACCAAACTAAATTTAGTTAATTGATCTTTATTCTTTATCCATTGTCCATCAAGAATTAGGTCTAGGAGTGTTCTCACCATTGCAAGCATTTAAAATGTTCATTACCTTTCAATTGACCCCATAACTTTAATCATTCGTAAGACTCGAAGAATCATGAGAAAGTCCACTGCAGCTTGACTTGCTGTCACTGAAGAGAAAAAGAGTCTCATCACTCTCATGTCACTATCTATAAAACGACGTCTACACAATAGATCATTATTTGTTATGTCACATTTCCATTCGATGATTAGACTGATTGCAGACATACATTGAATTCATTTATGCTGCTTTTTATGACGTATACCCCTATTAGATCAATGCGTATACCTGAATCAGTAGACAACTCGACAATAAACGCTATGGTTGCACCTCCGATGATAAAAAAATCAAATCTATAATAGATGAATAATTAAGAAACAACGATCATGCAAGACAACTGAACGAAATTACCTTTAGCTAATCTACATCAAAATACAAAACAACGATAACTCCGAGAAGGAACATTTTTAATATAGTTTTAACTTTCGACTATGTTTTAGTCGTCATAGTCGAAAGCTAGAACTATATTAATTAAAAATGTTCCTTTTCAGAGTTGTTGTTGTTTTGTATTTTTTTTAAAATACTCAGTGGTTCCCGTAATTTCTAATCTATATCTTTGAGATCTTACAGTATTGATCCAGCGTTGTTGATGTGGGAGGTAATAGAAAATCTGTGTCGAGCCAGAGGTTGGAGCCTTAAGCCTTGGTCAAACTAAGAAACATTGTTGCGGAAACATTGTGATTCGCCATGTTTCCTCAAGCGTTTCTGTGTTTGCCCACCCGTGGAAACATCGTTGCAGAAACACAATTTGCTTCCCGAGAAGCAGAAATGTTTCCTATCAAATTCAGAAACATTTCATGTTTCCCAAGTGCGATTTTTGTTGCGGAAACATTGTTTCCTAGTGTTTGCCTACCGTGGGAAACATGGCGAAACATTGGCAGGAAACAATGTTTTCGCAACAATGTTTCCTAGTTCGTCCAAGGCTTTAGAGGCACGTTATGTTTGCACTAACCATTCTGCCATCAACATGGCAATATTTAGTGAAACAAAAAGGACGTATATACATGGACTTACGTGTTCCAGAAGTTCACGAAGAACTCTCTGCAGCCATATGTGTAGAATTTTAAAAAGAGCTCAATGTTGAAAAGCAAGAGAAATGCGGCCTCCGCCATCTCCAGGGATAGTGCGATGAAAACAGCGTTCACAAATATAACCACGTCAAAAAAGTAGAGAAAATATCTAAAAACAAAGAATGGAAAATTTTCTACATTATTCTTCTCACGGACAATCTCCAGATAGTGAAAGACAACCTCCATTTTAATCCGGTAGTCGGCGTACTGATACTAGATTTTGATGAGAACACATTTGAGAAACACGGAAATTTTCAAATTGTTGCGGCAAAAGTGGTTTGTAGGTTGTGCATGGTTTCAATCCTTAATTCATTCCTTTCTAACATTCCTTCTACCCTATTGTTCCTCCCATGTACCTGTGGCAAACCATTCGTCTAATCTTCACACTTAACCAGGAAAAATAAATCGTAGGACAGATCTTTTCAAACAGATGAACCTCTTCTTTGACTTCTATCACTCGAGTGTTGAGCAGTTCTGACACTTTAGTGAAATCTTTAACTTCTGCAAAATATTTGTCGAAAGATGATTGAGAAACTTTGTATATAATACTATGGAAAACACTTTCATTTCCCTTGGGACGAAAGGAATGACTAGGGCTTGTGAGAGAGAGATGACATAGATACTGTATTGAAGAGAAGTTACCCGATTCCTGTTTACGATATACAGAAGAGAGAAATAACAATAACATGCTAATTCCAGGGAAACAAAAAAGGCTACAGAAAAGGTGGGAAGATATAGGATGAACGTGAGGTAATGAAACTCAGAAAGATGACACGTAAGAATATTAAGAACAGAAATCAATGGTGACGAATGCTCCTTTTCAGGCCAATTCCGTAGAAGAAACTGTTCCAAAGAAGAAGAATTTGTGGAACATGGGCATATTCAATCATTGAATCACAAAATTTGTAATTAAACAGGAGTTTACTTATATAATCGTTGTTCTCTCGATCCAAAACATGCCATAACAAGCTGACTTTTCCTGGACTGTAACTTGGGCAAACCACTTGAAGAAGAGATTTCCATCTTTCAAATCGCAACACCCATTCATTGTTCAACTTTTCACAGATTAAATCAAACGCTAATTTCAATTGTCGTCTCTTGCGGTAGACTGACTTACGAACTTCATTCTGTTGGGAGGGTGAAAATGAAAATATAAGCGTGTCTCTAACGGGTTCACTGGATGAAAATATACATGCGTCTCTGACGGGTTCATTTTTTACTGACAACTAACAAAATTCCTTAGAGGTCATCATCAACTTTGAGCTGGTTCAAATTTTGATGAGAGTCGATGAGAGTTTTGTTCGTTTTACCGATAACTCCAATCAACTCTCATACAACTCTTCGTCTCGTTTGACTGGACATGAGAGTTGAGAAAACTACAACGAAAACCCCCCAATAAAACCCAGTATTGAAGCGGTGCAAATAAGGCATCACTAACGTAGAGTCATTAGAAATAGATAATGAAATTTATGATCGTTTTACCTTTAAATGTTTTCTGTAGTTAGCATAGACAACAGCCAATAAAATACTGAGAAATATATACATACATATGACCAGAAAAACGAGGAAAAATAACGCGAACCAGTTGTTGCTGTCATATGCAGGAATCCTAAGTACCATAAGCAAAAATAATATAGTAATTGAGATTTAAATAAACAATCGTGTTTACCAGTCTGTTGTTGTCCAGGAGATATAAGAAAGTATAGCTTACCCTACGTCAGGGCTGTTTGCTGTTGTGGTAAAAATATAAAGTTGGTAGTAAGACTCGAGAAAGTTGTGGAAGTAAGGATTGCCATCAATATCTTTAAGATTTCTAAAACAATTGAGAATCATTAAAAAGTGTAATTAAGAACAATTATTAACAATTATGAAAAATTAAGAAATACATGCACGTCGCAATATGATCCCTATACAATATATTGTGCTCATCACTACAAGCAATAGACCCTTTGCATAACGTTGCAGTCAGAACAATGAATGACTGCATAGTGTGGAGAACAGTGGGATTTACAAAACAAGACAATGGAACAATCTGATCACTGTGTTATGACTGGATGGCGCTTTCAGATAAGGATACACACTAATGTTTGATTAAACTTCACCTATTTTCAAAGAGTTTTGTGGCGAGCAAGGCAAACAACCCAATGGCAAAAAGAAGCAAAACCAGCACGTTCACAACACCAACTATTGTTCTTCTGATGTTTCTAAATGCTCGACGAATCTGATAAAATAACATTTGACTTTGTTACACAGAAGGGACTATATCACTATTGATGTATCAGTTCAAAAATGTTCTCCCCAGATGTCTAGTAAAAGATCATGCCTTTCTTATAGCAAGTCTGTCAACAAGTTCTGTTCGCACTTCTTGTCCCAAGTTGTCAACAAGTTTGTAACAACTTGTTAACAGTTGTAACAACCTTGCTGATATTATCAGATTTACAAGTCCGATACAGTCATGATATGACAAATTGTTACAACCTTGTG